TCACTGGCACAGCGCCTGCCTGGCAAGAGAAAGGTCATCAGTTCAATTCCAAGTACCAGACAAAAAAACAAACAAACAAACAAAAAAATAGTCATTTCAAAAATATAAAATATAATAAGTGCTGGTGAGGACTTGGAGAAAAGGAACTCTTGCTCACTCTTGGTGGGAATGTAAATTATAGCCATTATGGAAAAGTGTGGAGTTTTCTCATAAAATTAAAAATTGAAGTACCATATAATCTAACACTCCCATTATTGGGTATATTTCCAAAGGAAATGAAATCACTATAAAGAATATATCTGCACTCCTGTGTTTATTATAATACTAATCATAATACTAAGAGGGTCTCATAGCCTAAACATCCAACAACTGACAAATGGATAAAAAATATGGCACATACACACAATGGAACACTGTCTAGATATTAAAAATGAAATCCTGTCATCTGAAAAAACATGGTTGGAAATAGAGATAATTATGTTAAGTGAAATAAGGCAGGCACAGAAAGACCAGAACAGAGTGATCTCACTCATAGAAACTGAAAGTAAAGTAGTACCTGGGGAGAATAGGAAGAAGCGAGATGAAGGAAAGGCTGATCTACGATTATTATGTTATAGTTAAGTATAAGAAGTCCATTATTCTATGACACAGTAGGGTGAATACAGATAATGATGTTATATTGTGTATTACAGAAGGATGGAAGAAAAGATTTTGAATGCTTTCACCATGGGAAATAATAAATGCCTGAAATAGACTGACTTATGTCTACCATTATCTAAACATTATGTAATGCATATACATATCAAAAAGCATGGTAACCATAAATAAGCATATATCTTTAATGAAGCAGTAAAATGTACCAATTTTTCAAAATCTTGACTTTTTTTAGGGACTGAGTATTGAACTCATGATCTTCCAAATGAGCTAGATCTCCAGATTTTTAGATTTTTTTTAATTTTCAGACAGGGTCTCTCTAAATTGCTAAATTGCCAAGGATGAGCTGAAACTAAAATCATGGCTCTTAAATATGTACCCCTTAAATATTCTGTAAGTTGAAATATCTAAAGCCCTTCTAATATATTGAAATAATGCTTATCTCAAATGAAAGCAATTGTGGTTTTAGTTATAAGCTAAATTACTCAGTTTTTTCATAGAAACTTAGAAAAGGATATAAGAATATTAGTTAATTTTTTGTACTAATCACTGTGTTGTTACTCATGGCCCAGGAATTTTGTCTTCCACTTGTATTCATAAGACTGTGGTAAGATAGTATGCTGGTCTGTAAATGAGGTAAAAATCTCAGACTTTCACAGTTCTTGACAGATAGCGAGTGATAAAAAAATATTTTATCTACGTGAAGCGATCAAGTAAGACATTCCTTTCCAGTGGAATATATTAAAATGATTGATCAAGAGATGATCTAAGTAGGACTATTACCTATAGGTAACAGATGTTCACAGAAGATTTTTTTTTTTTTTTTTTTTTTTTTTTTTTGGTTTTTTTTCTCCGGTACCGGGAACTGAACTCACAACCTTGCGCTTGCCAGGCAGGCGCTTTTGCCGCTGAGCTAAATCCCCAGCCCCCCATAGAAGATATTTTTGCAAAATTGTAACATGACAAGAACTGTTACCTTAATCAAATCAATCTGAGTTGTAAGCCAATTATCAGTGTAAGCGGAACTAGAATGAATTCTTACTGCAAAGAAGACATTGAGATAAGTATTCTATTTAATACCTATTACCATTGGACAATATAGTAATACTACTGATGAATAGTATATATGTGACCTATTATGTGAACAGTTTTAAATGCATGAACACTAAACAAGCATGACAGAATAAGTCTAATATTAAGGTCTAGTGCCTAATGGAAGCACGCTTCCTGACTTATAGAGAGCCATGTTCTCCTTGTATCTTCACTTGGCAGATAAAGCAAAATTTTGTCTTCTACTTTTCTCATAAGTACAAGATTCCCATCTCATGTCCTCTTCTACATCTAAATAAATCCCAAAGTCCCCACCTCCTAATACTATCCTGCAAAGGGGAGTGGTTCGCATGTAAAATTTGGGGGAGGGTACAAACCTGCAGTGTGCAGTATCATCATTTTAAAAACAAGGAGACTAATGCATCTAAAAATGAAAGATTAAGAAACTCACTGAAGAACACAATAAGCCATAAACAAATAAATGATAGAGAAAGGATCTGGCTGTAGGAAGTCCTTCTCCCAGAGATTATGTTCTTAAACATTATCCTATCCTACCGCCTAGATAAGGCATATGCTCTTCTTCTACCCATTTTAAGTTTATGTAACAAAATACAGCAAAATTAAGGCACTTGCCCCAAGTCATAAATCCAGTAACCAGTAATATTCAGAATACTCTGCTAAAAAGAGAAGCTACATAGTCAATTGCATACATTTAATTTATAGACTTATTTCTGGTTTATCTAACTAATCTGTTTGTGATTCTGATAGGAAGAAATTTCTTTGGCAATTGTTAGAGAGATAGCCTGAATCAGACTTGACTGGAGCCTGCAGTCATTATTCTGGTGATGAACATAGGCAAATGAGGCAAGCAAGGTTTTACATACTGGGCGGGCTTACTTACCTACAGCTTCTGACCAAAAATGAAACCAACTGGACTCCAAATTCAATGCCAGCAACAAGTGGAGACAGGGTCTTGTGCCATGTAGTCTGACTTGAGTCATTTCCTTCTTTGTTATTAATCCTTATGAGCAGTAAGGCTATATGCTAGTATAACCCAAGTCACTTGTCCATCTCTGAAGGTTGAGCTTGAGGAGTACGTAAAGAGCAAGTTGGAATGACTGATAGTCCCATCTAAACCATGTGCTCGTAGTTGGGGAGGAGCTATTCTTACTAAAGAAGTAGGCAGACAATGGGAGCAAGGGTTTTAGGCAAACAGAAGCAATAGATCTTCCCATTATGTGAATAGAGACCTTTTTTTTTATTAGTTTGGCACCCTTTCTATTTGAAACACATTTTGGAATTCAGTACATGATTCCATTCATTTCAAAGCTGGGTTTTATTGTGTTATTTATGGATATCTTGAATTCCCTCCATGAGGAACTCAGGGAGACAATAATCTCCTTGAGGAAAGGGACTGAAGTCATACATCTTCGGGTATTTCCATATACTAAATAAATTCCTGTTGAAAAAAACTCCAACCAACCTTCCTTGCCATACTATAATGTAAAAAAACCTGGTTTATGACAGCAGTTTTAGGGAGGGTGTCATTATTTGAATTTTCCCCTTTTGATTCATAGATGGCCCAAAGTTTTTGTTCCTAAGGAAATGTTCCCAACGCTGCTTTGCCTTAACATTAACAGCTCACTGTTGCTAACAGTTCCATGTAGTTGAACAAAATTGTCAAGTGAGTTCTTGGTTTGGCTTTGGTTTGGGGTTGGTTTGGCGGGTATTTTGGATGTCATTGTTGTTCTTTTGTTGTATTTTGTTTATGTTTTTGTTTTTGGATGGAGATCTTGCTATGTTTCCCAGGCTGGCCTCAAACTCCTGTGCTCAAGTGATCCTCTTGCCTCAGCGTCCAAAGAGATAGAGAGAGAGAGAGAGAGAGAGAGAGAGAGAGAGAGAGAGAGAGAGAGAAAGAGAGAGAGAGGGAGAGAGAGGGAGAGAGAGAAAGTTAATAAGTGAAGAAGTTGAGGTCTGAGGAGATTAAGAGATATACCCAAGCTCGTGATCCTTGTATATTGTAAATTCATAGCTCCTAACCTGTTCTATCTCACTTCAAAGTCTGCCCTATGTATGCCACTATTTGGTCAGAAAATCATACCCTAATTACATCCCTAACTGTTGTACAGTTAATTTTCCTTTGCAAGACACTGGTATGCATTCAGCCCAAGCAGAAATATTCACCTCCTATCACAGTGACACTTTACCCTCCTCACATTCAGCATGGAATTTCTAAACATTCAAAATCATCCGCACATTAAGCCACTTGTTTAGAGAAGTCCTCATCTTGAACACTTTGGGCTGTCAAGAACCAGGAGCAAATTTCTGTTCTCATGATACAGAAATGATTTTCTAAAATTATCTTCAGGAACAAAATCATAACAAAAAGTTTGGACGATGAGCATAGAAGCTTTTGAAATTTTGTATGTTTTCTTTTCCTCAAAAAAACTTAATTTGGGGCAGAAATCAAAAAAGGCCAACCTCTGCCAGGATACAAAAGCAGCAAGCTCCTGCCAGCTGACAGTCTTGTGCCTGTCAGTTTTGTGTCAACACCTCTCCTTCTGGTAGCAATGTCACCAAGAAAGGCAAAGGGAAAAATCTTAACTCAGCCACAGAGCCTGGCAGGGGTAACTAAAGAGAATAGCAAGACGGTGTCAGTGAGTAGAATACCTGTGGGTAAGGAGGGAATCCCATGTTCTAAACACAAAGCACAGTTTTTATTTCACTATAATCGTTGTGGAATTATCTGAGTTTAAACACATTTGTTACCAAAAAGGAGATGGCTTCCCTTTCATAAGTTGAGTAAACATGGTCTGAATCCAACAATAGTATATCACAGACAGAAACGATTTCCTAAACTTTCCCCTAGAACTCAAGGGCCAAGGGAGTGTGAACAGGGCATTTTTCAGGTCCCCCCCCATTTCTTTTTTGTTCTCAATACACCTGAGGAAGAGGATTTAAAAAACAAAAGGAAAGGAAATAAATTTAGGTTAGAATTCTCTTGATTCATCTGGTGGTGTACAAATTATTCTTATTAAATTGGTGTTAATTAACACTCACTGTGAATGAAATGCTCTGTGATAGCTTAAAGAAATGTACAGATACTAATGTATATGTGTATAGATTTCTATATGGGATCTTTACATACTTTGTATATCTGAATATTCAACTCCATAGAACAGAGTGTAGGGTAATTTTAGATTTTTGAAAGGAAGGCAAATTGTTTTATGTTTGGTTTTTGGTTTGGAGAAAGTCCCATGCACAACAGCAAGAACAAGAGATAAAATCACAAGAAATAACAAAATTTGCAGAATTTATTTGAACAAAAATTTAAAACATTTAGAAAAAGGACCAAAGAAGATTTAGATTGGCATACCATGTTCTTGGGTAGAAACACACGTTATAATAAGAACACCAAGTTTCCCAACTACAATTTATACAATACCCATGATCTTGTTAAAATGGTTACAGGATTGTTTCAATTGGGCAAGCTGATTCCAAAGTTTACATATAAACTAAACATGCAAAAACATTAGGACAATTCTGGAAGAGAGATTGATATAAAAGGAAGAGCTCAATGTGTTAGATGTATAAAACATATCACAAAGCTATAATAATTAAAACAATTTCTACCTGCACATGATTAAACAGCAAGATCAAGGGCCTATAATCTGTATGACTCCAGGATAGAAACCTTAGAATTAGACCTAAATACTTGCCAAAATTTAGTTCATGACAAAGTGGCATTATCAATTGTAGGGGAAAGATGGATTTATAAATGTTTGAAAAGCCAGTAGTCACCTAGAAAACACATTTATCCCATCTGTAGCACCTTTACACACAACATATTTTGAATGAATCAATTTTAAAATGTCAGAAATACTAAAATTAAAGAAGAAACTGTGGTGAGTTTTTAGAAAATGAGATCTTAGAATATGTGACACTTTTTTCTTTTGGTACTGGGAATCAAACTCAGGACCTTGTGTTACAGGCAGGCGCTGTGCTACTGAGCTATATCCCTGGCCCTGTGAGACTTTCTAAGTATGACGTGAAACCTAAAAGCATAATAGAACAAGTAAATACAATTAAAAGCAAGTAAAAATTTCTGCATAACAAAAATTATCATCAGCAAAGTACAAAGATAACAGAGCTGGAAAATATGTTTCCAACAAGTACCACAAAAAAAGTATAATAAAGGCTCAAACAAATCAAAGCTAAGCTATTCACCCAATAGGAAAAAAATAGGTAGGTGTATGAATAAACAGATCATAGGCAAGATACTAAAATGAGAGAAATGCAAATAATCTCCACGCTGAAATAGCATTTTCCAACTATCAGATAGGCAAAGACCCAAAATTTTATTGCACATTCTTGACAAATACATGGAAGACAGGCACTCTCATGCATATCGACATGAATAGGTATTGATAAAAACTCTTTAGAGTGTGATCTAGTAATGTCTACCAAAATTAAAAATATGTGTACATTCAAGATTATCTTATAAATTTACTCACACATATGTGTGGACTATGAAAGCATTACCACATTTTTTCATAGCAAATGATGGACACAGCTTAATAGCCTTCAATAGAGATTGATAAAATTGCTTACTTTATATAATTCCAAGCACCAAAGAAAAAGAAAGCATATATCTGCAGCTTATATAGGATGATCTTAAATCCCAGTTTCAAGAGCAGCATAATTTATACTCACTGTCAGGGCTGACCGAATTGGCATTGCTTATTACTCCCAAAAGTACCTTGTATGTATGATTGTAGTATCAACAATTTGGTTATTACAATAGATTGAATGTTTGTACCCCCCAAAATTCACATGCTGGAAGTTTCACTCACCATGTGACAGATAGCCTTAGGGCAGTAAGACATTTGGGAGATAATGAGATTATAAGGCAGGAGTCATCCTAAATGGGACTAGTGCTCTTATTAAAGGAATCCCAGAGGCCTCTCTCAATCTCTTTCTGTCAAGAGAGGATAAAACAGGGAGTCAGCAATCCATAAATCCAGAGAAAGTTGTTTTAATCTTGTTGTTTTCTTGTTTCTGGAACAAAAGACTTGCTTTGGCCCACAGTCTTGGAGGTTAAGTTTATTGGAGGCTGGCTCCAGGGCAGAAGCATCCTGGTGGAAGGGCAGGGTGGAGCCAAGGAGCTCACTTCATGGCGGTCAGGAAGCAGAAATGGTTAGGAAGAGACCCAGAGAGAAGGGGCAGAGGGTGAGAATGCTGAAGTTAAGCTCCCTGTGACCTACTTCCTCCATGAATCACCTCCTGATGGCCTCACACTAAGCCATGAAATCACTGATGGATTAACCTGTTAATGAGGCCAGTACCCCTCATGATCTCACCACCTCAAAAGGCCTGTATCTGAACACACGAGTCTCTTAGGAAACATTTTGATCCAGACCATAACAAAAGTTCTCACCAGAACCCAGCCACGCTTGGGCCCCCTGATCTCAGACTTCTAGCCTCCAGAATTATAAGAAATAGATCTCCATTGCTGACAAGCCATTCAGTCTATAATAATTTGTTCTAACAGTCCAAAATGACTATGATAGTCACCCAAGGTATACCCCTTGGAAGTGAAGGAAGGATTTGGGTGTTTCCTGGAGGAGAGTGTGAGATTAGATGAAGAAAAATGGAAAAGAAATAGCAACTGGATGCTTTCTAGTCAAGTTTATATTGTTTAATTCTTTTTCTTTGACCCTGTGGAAGCTGTAAGCTATAAACAGTAAGTCTCTGGAGCTGGACAGCCTGGGTCTAAATGCTGACTCTATTGTTTACAAACCATATGTCCATAAGTTCTTTCTGCTGCAGGTCCTCCTCTGTACTATAGGGACCCTAGTAACCATCTCATAGGGTTACTTGTTAATTGTAAGAATTAAATGAGCTAATGTATCTAAATCATTTAAATCAGAGTCTAACACCTATAAAGCACTATTGATGTACTAGCCATCACTGTAATTTATCAGGCTTCTTTTTTTTTTTTTTTTTCCCTTTGGTTTTTTTCTCCGGTACCGGGAACCGAACTCACGACCTTGCTCTTGCCAGGCAGGCGCTTTTGCCGCTGAGCTAAATCCCCAGCCCCTTTATCAGGCTTCTATGTGGCTACAGTGTCTAGCCCTTAACAAACTCAACACATAGTGAAAGGTTTACCCACTAAAATGTGACTAGCAAGATTTGTATGCAAACTGTATTCATTCATTTAATAATTTTACACTGGATACTTATATTTAAGGCTCTGAGTTAAGTTTTAGAGGAATGGAACTATATAAGACCCAAGGTAACTATGGCAAATTGTTGTAAAAACCCACGTACACAAGCTGAAGGTATTTGTTTGCTTATGAATTATCAATTATGACTTGATAGCTTAATCGAATTCATAAAAAAGAATGGCCTAGTTTCAAACAAATTTATTAACTTCTTGATTGCCTGGCAATCTTAAACTTTAAGTAAAATAAACTATTAATATAGGTAGGTCAGTTAATACTGAAGAACAAATTGCACTTAAATACATGATCAAGAACAAGACCTCTGTACCAGACAAACTCAGATTTGAAAATGGTTCTGCCACTTTCCAAATATAACCTAGGAAAAGACACCTAAACTTTCTACCCATTAAGTCTCCACGTTTAATATGAGTAGTACTAGGTATTTCCTTCAAATGTAATACAAATGCTAAATGTAAGATATTCATTCACCTAATGCACTGGACATTATACATGTACAATAAATATTTTAGCATCATTACTATTCATTTTGTTTGTTTTTGGTTATTATTTTGGTTTTGGTTTTTGGTACTGGGAATTGAACTCAGAAACTTGTACTTGCCAGGCAGGCACTGCACTGCTGAACTCCATCCCCAGCCCTAGCATCATTATTATTTCTCTGAATTTAAATAAACTATTTAATTTTCTATTTATATTACTTCTTACCCACTTCCTTTATCTTCATTGTTCTCCAAGCAAATGAGACCAAAAGGTCATTTATTCTCCTTTGAATATTAAATATTTTCTTTTTTCTCTTTAGCTTTCTTTTTCATTTTATGAAAAATAAAACAAAATTTCATAACAAAATAAGAGAACAATAGTCAATACACTATGAACCATTATCTTCAAAGTAGTTACTCAGAGTACAAGACATAAACCAAAAAGATTCTCATAAAAAACAAACAGATAATAACACAAAACTTAGTCTGTTGAGGAGAATAGTGAACGTTTTCATTATTCTGAAACATTCTGAAACATATTTTCAAAAACTTAACTGTTGTTTCTCTAAAAAGGCACATAGCCCAATCTCCTTCCAAATCACACAGCCATTTCTTTATTTAGGTGATCTCCAGACTTCCTGTTTAGGCAAAGCCTTGATCTAGAAGACATACTTTTTATAATTCTGTGCTAAGGACACAGCCTGAGTGATACAGCCATAAACAGATTCCCTCCACCTCCTACACAAACCATGTCTCCATGGGATGAAGACCCAGTCAGTAGGAACTGATTTGTAAAAGACAACTTGCCACTACTTCGTCCTGCACACATCAACAGAACCAAAACTTTTCAGCTGTGTACCATCTCCCTCATTTATATCCTAAGCCAAAAGAAAAGTTTTGTCATGTTTCTGTATTTATAAGCATTTGATCTGTTATTTCAGAATATGCATATTGAAAGTAGTTGAAATAACAGGCATTCATATTTAAAAAGAAACGTTGGTGAATTGCTGATATACTTACTGAAGTGAATCTTGGGACTTCAAAGTGTCAGGACTAGTGGGGGAAGAAAGCATGCTTAAGAATAAGAAGATTAACTGAGAACTGAACGCTAAGGCAGGTATTTTTAGGAATCTCTGGTAGTATTTTAATGTCAGTTAGCTTAAGAAACAAAGTGTTTGTTGCTTATAGTTGCTAGGCAACATGTTGGGTTTGATTTGGCTTCCAGACTTTTTTAAGCAGCGCTATGATTATAACAGCAATAAAACAGTATCATCTCTTCTCAATTCAGTAATAAAATTCTTAAGAGCAGTTATCTTTGATAAGGTCCTTATTACTTAACAGATTTTTTTTTCTTTTTTCTCTATCTTTACGCCAAAATCCTGGAACTATGTAATATACTCTTAAAAGAATAACTCACGTTACAGTTGTGCATTAGGCTGTTTCTATTTTAAAATAACCACTCACATAAAATTCAAGGTACTTAAGTTGCTGCCTTTTCTCTCAAATTTCTCTGCACTAGGATTCATATTCCTGAGTCAGTAATTTATTTTCTAAGAAGGTTTAGGAACAATGTGTACCTTAAATAGATTTCTCACTCAAATGTTTCATATATATATATATATATATATATATATATATAGTCTTTTTTGTTTCTATTTTGAGACAGTCTCACGATGTAGTTCAAGCTAACCCTAAACTCACTATGTAGCCCAAGCTGAACTCAAACTCTCAGTGATCCTCCTGCCTCAGACTCCCAAGTGCTGGGATTACAGACATGTGCCACCACACCCAGCTCATATAGATCATCTTCTACAAAAACTTAATGCCTTAACCAAATTGGAAATATTAGGCATCACTACTAATGTATTTTTGTGAGTTTATAAAACAAATGATATTTTTGTGTGTGAGGTTTGAGGGAGAAAAAGAGAAATAACGTTTTCCTCTTTAGTTTTATTTCCTCCTTGGTTTCCCCGACCCAAAAAAATAATGCCATTGAGATATTTTCCCTTAGCCTCTGAATCATGCCCTGAATGAGTGACCATAGTCAGTCAATGCTGACAGACTTCCACAGCATCAGAACACAAATGGTAGGATCATTTGCACAATGCAATGTAAACTTTCCTTTTAGCGCTACAGTGCTAGAAATTCTACACTCATTAACTTGTTTCCTATATAAAGCATTCAAAATGAGAGTTATTGGCCGTTTGTATAGATGAGGAAATGGGAATCTGGGAACTACACAGATGAGAATACTGCTACATAAAGGCTCACAAGCTGAAGAGTCAGGGTTGAATATAGTTTATCTGGTTCTCAAATAAACTCTCTGCTATTTACGTATTTCAGTGTAACTTATTTTAAAATTCAATATGCATAGACTTCAAGAAAGTACGTCTTCCATTTCAGTCCTCATAAAGCATGGGCAAAGAAACAATGAAAGTGAGAGAAGACCATGCTAGGAGGTCCTAGAGGAACCACTGCGACAGAGCAACAAGAATTATGGAGGTAGGTGGATCACGAGTTCAAGGCCAGCCTGTGCTACCTAGCAAGTTCAAGGCCAGCCAGGAATATAGCAAGACACTGCCCAAAGAATAAATTTAAAGTAAACCAAAATTATGGAGTGAACACATTCTGTTCATTATGAGACAAGAGACAATGGACAGCATGTTTCTTTCTCCTCAGTGCCAAGACACTGTCTGAAAATCCCTCCTGCTTCATGAGAAAACATGTAAAATAAGGGGTTTTGACAAAGAAAAATGCACCCCAGTCCTCCCAGAAAAAGAAGCTTTTAGGCATCTCACAGACCTGTTCTCTGAAAGCTCTGTAAAAACAGAAATCCTATGGTATAGCACCTGGCACAGCACATGGCACATCTGAGGAACTCAGCACATACTTTAAATGAATGAGCTCCAAGTTATATAGTCCCAGTAAATGTAGAGATGCTGACACTCCTAAGTAGGAAGAGAGCCGCAGAAATGCAATTGGTGCTGACTACAGTTGAAAGGCTGACATCTAGGCAAGCTCTGATTGGAAAGACTCATAGGTAACCTCTGTAAGTGGGAAAGAGTCTATGCCCATACCACCCCGAAAGCACCCGATCTCGTCTGTCAGTGGGAAAGAGGTGGGGATATTCCTCATAATGTAAAGTAATCATTTTGACAGGAACAAGAGCAGAAGATGAATTCACATGGAACACAGAGGACAGCCAGTAAAGGACAGAGAATCAGTGGGGAATAAATTTAGGAAAGAATAATTTTAAAAAATCAGAGAACAAGAATGAATGAGGTGTCATTTCACTCAATGACAAGCCTCCATGAGGATTTTGCCAGTGGTCTGTAGGAAGGACTGGAAATTACTCCTCTGAAATATGTAACATGTGACATAATAATGATAATCTTAAAATAATATTGAAGTTAAAATTTATCAAGAACTTCCTAAAATGTTTTAAGTGAATTCATTCATTCAACCCTTTAATCCTAATAATAATCCTACTGATTGAGCACTACTCTTATTACTGTTTTTGTAGATAAACAGAAACTGAAAACAACAAAACAATTTCTTCAAGGTGAAAAAATTAATTGTGTCACAAAGCAAAGTTTCTAGGTCAACTTATAGGGATTCAGGGTTCAGGTTCCGAATCACTGAACCATAGCACTCAGTCTGTGCAAACTATATGAAGTCTATTCTTCAGGTGGTTTTAGTCATTGCTACCCGTTCTACTTTCATTATAAAGTTCTGAGTTTAAAAGAATGAGTCCCTTTAAATGTCCCCACTTAACATTTGGTTCACTAATTTGGTAGCCATAACTTCTATCTATCCCTTACCTTAAATACTTGGAATTTGTCCTTTATCCATGACCACAGGGCAAGATCAGAGGTAAGAAGTAATAGCGTCTAAAGTCATCACATTTAATGAGCCTTTAAAATGACTTAGGCCTGCTTCTGCCTCTCCTTTATTGCTACTGATGATTATGTCATATTTAAATTCATGCCTACTCAAACTTTGCTAGGCTCAGGGGTTTTAAAGGATAAATACGGAGACAGACTACAACCTGCCTAGTTCTGAGATCATCTTCTTTGCTTTGACAACCAGACTTCTGGCTTAAAGACTTGAGTTAAGATTTTGATTCATGCTCTTTTCTAGGTTTGTTACTGTCACTCATTTTGTGTGTTTAGAGGGGTTTTTTTTTATTGTTTGGTTTGCTTTCCTTTTTTAATATCTCTTGCTCACATGTGATCCATCCTCCCATTTTGGCAGCAGTATAGGAAGTTTAGAACAAAAAAAAAGTTAAAATTTTAGGCTTTTGTTTCTGGGCTTTAGAACATCAAAAGAAACTAAATGAGAGCTCATGGCAGGATATCAGCAAGATAGAGGAATAGGAGGTCTCTCACACTTGTATCCCCATGGCAACACTAATTTGGCAACAATCTATGAACCAAAGTATTTTTGTGGGAGCTGTGGGACCCAGATAGGACATTCCAAAATTCCAGTAGAGCCCAAAACCAAGGAGAGCTATATTGAGAATGCAGGACCTTACCCAAGGTGGGCTCACTAACCATAGTCTCAGCTGAAGATCCACAAGCAGCACATTTCCGCTATAGATTCAGCTCCAGCCGTATTTGGCCATGGTCCTGCAATCTGCACCATATGCCGAAGGATGCAGGAGAAGCCATGCTCATCCATGCCCCCAATAACAGGCCTGCCAGTCATAGAGCCAACTGCAGATGCAGATGCTGAAGTGGCCCTGTAGCCATCTGCAGCCATATCCTCCCACCCATTCTGTACCATTTCTGCCCACATAGGGACAGCACAATACCCATCTGTGCCCAACAACCCTGGCTCCAAATATGCACTTAGAAGCAGCCTAGAGACTCGGTTACAACTGCACTTAGCTTTAGTCCAAGAGTAGTTCTGACTGCCCAAGGAACCAGCAGGAGATATGCCCATCTTAGCCGTTGGTGACAGACCTATTAACTTCAGTCTGAACTGCATAATTGAAAGAGCCGTGTGAGCTGGCTTCAGATGCACTCCACCACAGTCTCAGGGGCAAGTCTGCCCATCCACATATCCACTCAAGATCAAAGCAGGAGATTCATATATTCACAGCTCAGATAACAGCCCCACTGTCTGTGAGTGAACTACAGCCTTAAAGTGGCTTTCTGACCTGTTTCATCACTGCCTGACCATGCTTTCAGAAGCAGTCCTCTCCCTTTTAGGACTTGGCAAATAGTACACTCATCCACACCTCTGATAACAGGCTTGCCAACTGTGGATCCAATTCCACATAAAGCAGCTCTAGCTCAAGGTCTACAATCCTGCAGGCAATCCTCTTAGCTCAAACACCAGGTAAAAGAAGATCTTTATCTACTGCAACTAGCTAGTAAAGACAGGAGGAAGTGTTTGCTCCTTCAAATATACAGACATCAATACATAGATACCTGGATCATGAAGAATCAGGTAAACATGACACCACTATGGAAACTCATAAAGTTTCACCAAGCAACACCAAAGAAATAAAGGTCTACATAGCGCCTGGAAAAGAATTGAAAATAACTGTCCTAAGGAGCTTAATTTGCTACAAGAGAACAAAGTTATACAACTCAGCAATATATAAAAATATATATAAACAAAATACTAAACTCAACAAATACAGAAATCATGAAAAGAAACCAAAGAGAAACCCATAGTTGGATAATACAATGAATGATATAAAAAATGCAACGAAGAGTAACAGTAGCAGATTTGATCAAGTACATAAACTTAAAAGTCCTCAAAAAGTTCAATGCAAAAAAAAGACTTCACACTACAATCAAACTTTCAAAAATCAGACCAAATTTTGAAAACAAGATAAAAGCAAATTATCATATGCAAGAAAACACCCATAAGACTGTCAGTAGATGTCTCAGCAGAAACTTTACAGGCCAACAGAGAGTCAGATGATACTTTTGAAGTGGTGAAAGAAAAAAAAATTACCAGGTAAAAATACTATACTTGGCAAAGCTGTCTTTTAGAAATTACAATCATACCTTAATAACCTCAAAGGGGTAGCACTCAGAACTCAGGTCATAAATACATGCTATTAATAACATCTTTATGAAACTGTATGAGTCAGAGACAGTGTTTATGGTTCTCATTAGAAATAAGATCTCAGAATGATAAT